AGGTGCTTGTCGACGGGCTGTCTCGCGCCCTGGTTTATCGTCGGTGTCGGGCGCGCAGCGGCGATGGAGGAGTGCGTCGGCTCCTCTCCTCCCGTCTTCAGCATCTTTGCGGCCGCAAAATCGCCGTCGCCTTCCGGCCCCTGAGCAAGCGCTTCGGGCTTGGGCCTGCCCGCGCGTTGGTCTATGGGGGCCGCCCAGAGTCGTCGCCCGCCCTCTGGAACAGCTGCCCCGCGGCCCGGGCGCTGGGCGAGCCGCCTCGCGGCATCCCGCCGGGCGACTTCTGCGGGTGGCCAGCGGCTCGCAGCGGGGCCCGGCCTTGTCCTTCTTGGAGCGCCCACGCCTTCGCGCGCGCCCGCGCGCGCAGGTGCCAATCCTCAGCCGACGGCCGCGCGAAACCGACGCTCTTGCTCGCGGTGCGTCGAGAAACGGAAAGGATAATTGCCGGGGGCCGCGGGGGCCGCAGGAAACCCGCGGGCGGCCGCCGGAAACCGCTCCGGAAATCGCTCGTTTTCGAGGAAGTCCTGCGCGAGAGCTGCATTTTTTGTCACGTCCCGAGATTGCAAATGGGGGGCCGTCGTCCTGCCCGGGGGCCCGCGCCCCCCCCCCTGGCAGAGCTCGCGCGGAGCTCTCGGATGATGAATGGGGTTTGCCATCGTCGCCCCGTCGCCGCCATCGCCACAATCGCCGCTTTTGCCGTCGCCATCTTCATCGTCATCGTCATCCTGATCATCGTCGTCGTCATCATCATCGTCATCATCGTCATCGTCGTCGTCATCCACATCTCCGTCGTCGTCGTCGTCGTATTTCCCGAGGTCGTTCTCGTCGGCGGCGCGGGCCCCATCGCCATGCAGCTCCGTGGTGCCCTCGAACCGCCCCGTGTCTGATTCGCAGTGAAAGGCCATCCGTCGCCTTCCGCGGCCCCCCCCGCCGACTTCCACTGGGGTCGAGATGTCGACTCTTTCATTGCGCGGCATTTTGCATGCGCGCGTCTGCGCGCGCGTGTGTGTCTGCGCCTGTCTGCGCGTCTGCGCGCGTGTAAATGTTTGTGCGAGTGGCTGTGCGCGCGCGCGCGTGTCGGCTTTCTTCCGCCGGCGCAATCAATCTGCCTAGCCGCCGACGCAGAAAGTGCGCGTCCGCGTGGGCGCCTGTCCTCCTGCCGCGCGTGCGTCTGCGTGCGCGGGCGATTTTTCCACTCTTCTTTGGGCGCGGTTTAGCTGCGGTTCAGCTGCGGTGAGGGCCTTAGAGTTAGGCTTGATGCTGACCTCTTCCGCCGTTGCGCGGGGTGGTTGCCTTGCGCGGGGCAGCGGCCTCGGCGCCCAGGGTCGCTCCTCGCGCTGGCTCTGAGATCTCCGCGGCAACGCAATTGGCCTCGACCCGCTCCGTCCGCGGCGCCTAGGCCGCCCAGCCCCCAGTGGTTCATCGTGATGATGATGGGGGTCTGCCGGAGGAACGCGCAGTGCGCGTGCTGCATGGTAGGCCCCTTGCCCGACTCTGCGTCGCCGAAGTGCGTCTGCGACAGCTTCTTGTTCCTGGTGGTGAAATCTGGGGCTTGCATCTCGTCCAACAGCGCAGCCCTGTGGGCGCCTCGCCCCTGCGAGTGCAGATTCGGCTCGTGGGCGTTCATCGCGCCGATCACCAGGGTCTGCTCCGCGCCGAACAGTGATCGCGCTAGCCTCGATTTCCCGGCGCGGGGCGGCCCGTGGAGGACGAGGAACTTACAACTATCATCGACCTCGCCGAAGTGCATTATCCAAGATTCAATGGCGGGGCACAGCGGCATCATTGGCTTCGAAAGCGCCCGGATCGCCGCCAGTGCTAGTGACTGCTCTTTCTTGCATGCGTGCCTTGTCTCCGTCTCCACGACGGCGTCCATCGTCGGTCGCGGCCATCGCACAGCTTCGCTGAAAGCTGGCGAAACGCGTCGTGGTCCTGCTTATGCACCCCCCAAAGACTGACGACCCATCGTGCTTCGGGCGCCCGCAAATCTTCCCAGGAGGCATCTCTTGTCTCAGCGTACGCAGTGCCAGACTTCCATGCCCGTGCATAAAAGTGCCCGCGCCTGATGGCGCGCACTCGCTCCGACGGACCACGGTTCTCAGCGTTGGCGCCTACACGGGGCCGCGCGCCCGCGTGGACCCACTCGTTCGTCGTGGAATGGTCGACGCCGTTGCCGCGGCCGTGCCTGGAGAAGTATGCGAGGTAGTGGATGCGACTTGGGTTCGGCGCGCGCGTGGGCAATACGCATTTGCAGCTCCAGTACGCGGCGTTGTACTTCTGGGCCCTTCCCTGCACGAGTGCCAAGAACTCACCCCGCTGGCGCGGTGACGGTGCGAAGGCGAGACAATTGTGAATTGTGCGTCATCAGGAAGGCCCGCGCGCGGAACCGGAATTCACCAGCGCAGCGTGTAGCTCAGCTGCAACGTGTGGTGCCCCTCGATCTCGGTATCTCCACGGTTCTCATCCTCTGCCGCGCCGCCTGGCGACTCGGCTGCTTTGGACACCCGAAATGGGTACCGAAAGAATGGGCAACATGCCCAACAACAAATGTTGTCCCGAACCAACAGCGGCCGCTGTTGGGCGGGCGGCCTCCTGTCTCGAATGAACACAGGCCGCGGCGGCGTGGACAGCGAGTCCTGTTCAAAATGAACAAGATCCGCTGTTGGGCATAGTACCCATTCTTTCAGTACCCATTTCGGGCGTCCAGAGCTGCACGCAACGCTAGCTCGAAGCGCTCCTTCCCGGCGTCCAAAAAGGACGGCTGCCAGCCTGTCCCGCCGGCTCGCGACCACTCGCTCCGCAGGTCATCCAGACGTCCCAGTTGCTCGGCGGACCCCTTGCCGTAGATTTGCTCGTACAGCGCTTCGCGGTTGGCGCCTGCACCCTGCAGAGGCACCATCTGCAGCCCGAGCTCGCCAGCGAGGGTGTGCAAGGAGCGGCTGATTCCATCCCTGGCCTTGCGCTTCTCCTCGGCGAAGGGCATGCGCCTGGCCGAAGGCGCCGGGGCCTGCCAGGGCTAAGCGGCGATGGCTCGAGCCACAATAGCAACGGTGTCCAAACCCCCTACGCGTTCGAACTCCCCGCGGAAGGTAGAACAGATCGAAACCAGGATCCTTGTCGTGTCAGAAGAGGCCTTCAGAGAAGCCTCCAAAAGGGCCCCAGGAATATATCAGGAGGACTCCAAAGTGCCCCAAGGGCTCCCAAAAGGCCTCATCCTCCTCGTCCTCCTCCTCCGATTCCTCATCCTAGTCCTCGTCTCTTCTCTCTCCCAACCCTGATGCTCCCCCTCATTCTCCTCCAAATGTTCCTCGAAGAGTTTTCAGAATGGCTGGGGGGATGATACTTAGTCCCGTAGATTTGCCAAGCTGAAATCAAACGTTTGGCCACAGGGGCGTTTCCAAAGAGATATGGGAGCGGCGGTGATGCGTCACATGCGTTAAAAAACAAACAGACAACGCCTTTCGTACAGAGTTGGCGTGTTTGCGTAATTTGCCCGGGTGCTCGACGGTGATTTATGCACGTATTGTTGCGGCATTGTCGTCGCTTGGTTTCTCCCCTCATCCTGTTCCTTCTCCTCCTGCTCCTTCACATCTCGTTTCACCCCTCTTCATCTAGCGGAAGATGAGGTAACACAGTAGAGGCATGCGATGTTTATCATGCGTCACGTTTCAAGGCTCTTATTTCTGGCAATACGGGCTCCGACCGCGTGAGCTCCAACGATGGCGCGGCCAAGATTGTCAGTTGAAGGCTCGCATGTCGTTTGTCATATTCCTCGTGACTCTCCTCGTTTGTATTGATTGTTACTGCTTTTGGATGGTGCAGAACGTTGCATAGCACCACGTCAGAAACATCGAATTGTGTGGGGGGTCCTTGGGTAGCTTTGCTTTCGTATTGCACTTACATTGCGTATGGCGTTACGTGCTACGTACCATTGTACAGCATGGGTCTGAATTGCGGCAAATGGAGCCTGCAAAAAATGTCCGCATCCGATCGCAATTCTGATTGCGGTGAAACTGGAGGATGGGCCATACAAGCACCACCCTGGCAGAACGGTGGTGCCATGCAGCATGGCTAATGACAGGAGTAGGACGATGACCAAGACAACGGGAACCACCATCACGGCGCTGAGCAGCAATGAACCCAGTACGATGGAGATGACCAGCGCAGTGGAAAAAACGAATAAGACGATGACAAGAAAGACAAATTCTAGGAGCACGATGCTGACCGTTAACATCATCTCACGGCGTTTCTGACAGCGGCTCGAACGGAAAACCCGACCACGGTACCTCCATCGGCTCCAGCGCCAGCTCCGAAGCAAGTCACCGCCATTTCCACCAGTGATGCCGACACTAAGTTCGGCTCGACGTTCTACAGCAGCGTTGACGGCATGTTCGATGGACTTGATTCCGCCGACTCTGGAGCTACATTCGACAGCGTCTACATCGCCGACCATGCCAGAGCAGGCTCCGATCACTTTCCCGACGTGACTGCCATCATCGGTGACGACCCTGCCTCCGATAGTAGCTGCTTCCCAAGCCCCGCCGGCCACTCCAGGGAGGCCTCGTCTACCGGCACCTCCGACAACAAGGCCAGCTGCCAGGCGGCTCCGGTGCCGGCATCCTCGACGGCTCCAGAGCCACCCGCGGCAGCGACTCCACCGTCAGATGGGCCAGGGGCGCCTCCGACAGTGTCATCGCCGTCGAGTCTGACTGGCATCAGCAGCATCACGTCGTAGATTGCGGCATCCTGCCATACTTAGCAGAACGATGGGGGCCCAGGCGCGGGGCATAGAGGCGGACACCAACACCACGACGCTGACCACCACGCACGTCAAATCTTGTGACACCCACTGTTCCAATGGGTGTCACCAGCACGACGCTCAGCGACATGCAGGTATCAACGCTACGACGTCGCAACGCCAACCAGCACGGCACGTGTTTCCCCGAAACCCGAGCGTGCCACCCTCAGGACGTACGTAAATAGCAGTCACAGACCACCGCTTTTTTGGATGGCGCTCTCATCGCCGATTCGTAGCTCAACGGGTCGATGGCGGCGGCGAGCATCAGGCCACTACAGCCCAAGGCAAGAGCACGCTTTGGTGCCCAGCCGGCGGCCCGAGGAGAGCTGACGAGCGGGGGAGGGAAGAGGAAGGTGAGGGCGAGGCTCGGCAGGTGGAGGGCCGAATGGGGTGAGGATCGAGGACCGAGCCACCGAGGTGGCAGAGCCCCCCCCCGCATGCAGATGCGCGGCTACTTCGGAGCATCCCCGCGCTCCAGCGTGTCGAGCCGGCTGAGCGCGTCGTCGTGCTCCGCCCGCATGCTGGCGTGCACCTCCGCGTGGCCCGACCGCTGCAGCTGCCGACGCCTCGCGGCGCCGCGGTCCCCGCTCGCGCCGCCTCCGCTCGTGGCGGCCGCGGCCGCAACGGTCTGGGTGGGCGGCGTCAGCGGCGGGGCCGGCGAGCCCCCGGGGCCGTCGGCGGCGCGCCGCTCGGGCCGTCGGAGCCGCTGCAGCAGGGCCGCGACGTCCTGCCGCACCTGCTCGGGGTCTGGCTCGTGCGCCGCCGGCTCGGCGGCTGCCGCGCTCTGCGGCTTCGCGCCCGCCGCGCCGCGGCTGGCCTGCGGCCGCCCCGGAGGCTGCGTGGGCGCCGGGGCGGGCGGCTCCTCGGCAGCAGGGGCCTCTCGGGCCTCGCGCGGCCGGGCCGGGGCCGACGCGGGCGCCGGGGCGGCCGGCTCGACGGCTGCGGGGGCCTCTTGGGCCTTCACGGCGGCTGGCGGATCTGCGGACCGGGTGTTCTCCTCGGTGCGGAGCAGTGGTTGCTGCGGCTCGCTGTCGCCGTCCCTCGGGGTCCCGTCCGCGTGCCTCTGCGCCTCGCGGTACACCCACGCGACCAGTAACGCTACGGCCACGAGGAGGCCCACCCGCAGCAACCAGAAGAACGCCCAGCACCATGCCGTCGCGGGCGAGCACCCCTGAATGATGGTGTTGGCCGCGTTCTCCAACCCGAACAGAGCCCAGCACACACCCAGGAGAGCCATGACCGTGCAGACGCACAGCCCTATGGCTCCGTTCCGGTATGTTTGCAGGGGCACGCCCGGGATCGCCGCCTGCAGCCGCAGGGTCCAGTCGCGGGGCGCCCCGTCCCCGTGCCAGCGCTGCGCGGTGCCCACAGGATCCTCGTGGAGCTTCCGCAGTGGCTCCGCCAGGAGCCACGCCGCAGAGCCGGCGCCTGCCGACGCCAGCAGGGCGATGGCGACGTCGACCTGCAGCCACAGGGCGTTCGGGGGGGCGCACGGCTCCCCCAAGACGCCGAGCGCCACGGCGCAGACCAGCTCAAGGGCGGTAAGAGCCACGGCCACCCACGCCCGCGTCCTGGCCCAGTCCAGCCAGGTCAGTGCCACTCGAAGACTGTCCACGTAGCCTCCTGGCTTGATGGTCTGCTCCATGACCGCGCGGTGTTCCGAAGGGACCACCTTCGCCTCCACCAGGGTGTCCGTGAGCATCTCGCGCTCCTCGGGCCGCAGCTCCTGCACCACGTCCGCCAGCTGCTGCGGCTGCATGGCTCTGACTGCCACGTTCTGCGCCTCCTGGGTGATGCTGTCCAGCTCCTCCTGTGGCATCGACTGAATCTGCGACTCCGTGGCCACGGCCATGAGGTTCTGGATCAGGGGCACCGCTCTTGGGTCTTGACCCTCCGTGGCCTGGGCCTGCGAGGCCCGCTGCCCCGTCTCCATGGCCATCCGCACTGCCCCGGCGCGCCGCGCGGCTGGCAGCTCGCCGAAGCCGGTGAGGGCGCCGCGGACCAGCCTCTGCCTTTCTTCTGGCCGGGAATCCTTGAAGGCGCCCGCGAGCGAGAAGATGGGCAGGCTCCGCACGTCGGCACCGGGCCGCGACATCTCCTCCACCTGCGCAGAAAGGCACCCGCGTGCACCCCACAACCGTGCCTGGCCAGGGCCTCCCCTGGCCCTGGCGTGGTGCACGTGCCCTCCTGGCCGAGGCCATGAGGTTCTGGAATGTAGAGGCCTCCCAGATGGGGTCCGAGCAGGTGGGGTCTGCAGGTCGCGCTGCATCGGCGATGCATCGGCGACGTCGGCGAGGCATCGGCGCCATCGGCGTGGAGAGAGTTGGGCCCCACGTCCAGCCGCATCGCCGATGCCTCGCCGCTGCATCGGCGATGCGGCGCGATCCTCCGACCCCGTCTGCTCCGACCCCATCTCGGAGGCCTCGAGAACAGCAGCATCCCCAGACCCCCTCGGGTCATGAAAAAATCACGACGGGAGTTTTTTCGCCATTTTCGGCCTCTGGGGGCCCTCGCCGGGCCTCGGGACCGTCAAAAAACGACTCAGGATGAAACAGCGGTCCCGGGGAATGGGTTGGGACCTCTGGGGGTCGCGTCATGAAAAAATCATGATGTCGGGGGTCTGGGTCCCGAGGACCATGGTGGGCCTGGCCGGGCATCGGCGCCGGCGGTGCGCCGTGTGCAGAGGTGCCCCCCGCTGGCCCCGGGCCCGGGGAAAAGCGCTTCGTGGCTGGCCTATGGGCTGGCGACGGCGCTTCGGCGGACCCGGTGCAGCGCTGACACCGGTCAGCGCGTCCCCGAGAGCCTCTGGAGGGGCAGGGGAAGGCGAAGCTCGTCCCCTAATGTACCCCTTCTGGCGGTTCCCAGACCCCCGACGTCATGTTTTTTTCATGACGCGACCCCCAGAGGGCCCAGACCCATTCCCCGGGACCGCTGTTTCTCATCCTGAGTCGTTTTTTGACGGTCCCGAGGCCCGGCGAGGGCCCCCAGAGGCCGAAAATGGCGAAAAACCTCCCGTCGTGATTTTTTCATGACCCGAGGGGGTCTGGGAATGTACCCCTTCTGGCGGTTCGAAGCATCGAGGAGTGGGGTGAGCCCAGACATCCGGCGTCGTGCTCTCTTTTTTCTCGTCGCAGCGCGGCTCCCGAAGACCGGGGCCTCTTCCCGCGGACTGGCTCTTCATCCTTTATCGTATTTGTGAAGGGGCCCCAGGACACACAAATAAACACACACAAATAAAATGATTCCCTATATTTTCATATATTTTCTGGGTTTTTGTCTTCCCGCCCAATTTCCATATTTTCCATATTTTCTGGGGAATCGAGGATTCATTGTGTCTGTGTGTTTCTTTCCCTCCTGAATTTTGGCTGTCGCGGAACCCGGCGGGGGCTCCCGGAGGCCGAAAACTTACAAGAGCCATCCGCCGCGATTCTTCTCACGGCGAGGGGAACATCAACGCGGGAAGTCGGCGCGAAGCGGAACGTGCGTCGGACCGGGCTGCATGGGCACGGCATCGACATCGAGTCGGAGCGGCCCCGCCAGGAGGCATCACAACGCCGTGCACGCCTCGGGCAGCATCGGATCGCCAGGATCTGCTCGAGCTGGCCAGCATCGATACCGAAGCGGGTCGATCGGATCAAACCCTGCAGGGCCTGCCCCAGCGCCCATTCGGCGATCTCGGCAGGCGGCCGCCCGAGCAGCGCGCGCAGCAGCTGCTCGCCATCCGCCGTGCCCGCGGCCAGCGGGTCGCCGCCTCGTCTCGGCTTCGCACGCAATGGGTATCGTTGAATCGATCCCCGTCCCCAGCGGCGTGGCCTGGGCCCCGCTGGCCGATGTACCCCCCTAGAGATGGGGATACAGGTCGTTCCCTTCGGGCTTCGGGGGGTGTACCCCCAACTGGGGTGGTAATTTGGTGGGGGTCTCGAAGGGCATGGGGATGGGGATGGGGTGCACGGTTTCCCCTGGGGCCGCAGGCGACCCGAGGAGGAGGAGCAGGAGGTGGAGGAGCAGGAGGAGGAGGAGGAGGAGGAGGAGAAGGAGGAGGAGGAGAAGGTGGATGAGGGTGAGGGGGAGGAGAGGGGAGGATGATGATGAGGATGAGGATGAGGATGAGGATGAGGATGAGGATGAGGATGAGGAGGAGGAGGAGGAGGAGGAGGAGGAGGAGGAGGCGGAGGAGGAGGAGGAGGAGGAGGAGGAGGAGGTAGAGGAGGAGGAGGAGGAGGAGGAGTGGAGGAGGAGGAGGAGGAGGAGGGAGGAGGAGGAGGAGTGAGGAGGAGGAGGAGGAGGAGGAGGAGGAGGAGGAGGAGGAGGAGGAGGAGGACGAGGAGGAGGAGGAGGGAGGGAGGCGGAGGAGGAGGAGGAGGGGGGAGGAGGAGGAGGAGGAGGAGACGGAGGAGGAGGAGGAGGAGGGGAGGAGGGAGGAGGAGGAGGAGGAGGAGGAGGAAGGAGGAGGAGGAGGAGGAGGAGGAGGAGGGAGGAGGAGGAGAAGGAGTCCCCGGGCAGGAGCGGCCGCGGGTGCGCGGCCTGCCCCGTCGCTGCGAGCGATCTCTTGGTCTCGCCGCTGGGCACTGTCGCTAGGCGTTGGGCCCCGGGGCCCGCGCAGATTGGCCCGGCCCAAAACATAATCGCGCGGGGAGAAGGGCTCCAGGGCTCTCACCTTGGTCTTGACGCTGGGCACTGTCGCCCGGCGCTGGGCCCCGGGGCCGGGGCCCGCGCTGGTCGGCCCGGCCCAAACATGATTGCGCAGGAAGACGGGGTCGCCGCGAGCGATCCCTGACATCGTGGCCTCTCACCTTGGTCTCGACGCTGGGCACTGTCGCCCGGCGCTGGGCCCCGGGGCCCGCGCTGGTCGGCCGGGCCCAAAACATAGTCGCGCAGGGGGACGGGCTCCAGGGCTCCCGTAGCCGTGGTGTTCGACGATGCTTGTTTTTTTTCGCCACGTCGGAGCTCAGGGATGCGGCAGTGGCGGCCCGCGCGATCGGGCTCGCGATTGAACAAAAAAAACATGGAACGGTATACGAGCGAAGGCAATGCTCTCCCGCCTAAAAGAAAAGAGTCTAGCGCAGCAAGGCTGCTGCCTCTAACCAGAGATGCCGCGAGAGCATTTCGTAACATCCACAAATATCCAAGTACCTGGCGTCCAGATTTCTCGAGACGCGGGCCCACGACTCTTGAGGGGCAACGACGGGGCGGGAGTGGCATAGAGGGGGATGCATCGACCTGGACTCGGCGATACATCGCCGATAGATCGGCGATAGGACCCCGAAGGAGAATCCGCACCTTGCTGTGCAGGTTGGGGCTATCGGGCCCCTATCGGCGGTCAATGGGCGATTGGGGGTCGATGCATCCCCCCCTTATGGCAATCCCCCCTATCGATGCCCGAGGCCGGGCAAGGGCCCCCCAGAGGCCGAAACCAATGAAAATTCTCCGTCCCCCTTTTCTTCGAGACGCCCGCCAACCGGACGCTCCGCCACTGCTTGCGTGCCTTCGTCGTCGTCGTCGTCGTCGTCGACCTTATTGTTGTCGTTGTCTTCCCCTCCCGCTCAATCCCCCTCCCCCTCGAGGTCGTCGCCGACGTCGTGGTCGACGCCGATCTCCTCCTCCTCCTCCTCCTCCTCCTCCTCCTCCTCCTCCTCCTCCTCCCCCTCCTCCTCCCCCTCCTCCTCCTCCTCCTCCTCATCGTCCCTAGACCCCCGACGTCTTGACTTTTTCATAACGTCGGCCCCTGGAAATTTCGACCCATTCCCCGGGGCCCTTTTTTCGTCCCGAATCGTTCTATGACCGGCCCCGGGGCCCGGCGAGGGCTTCTGGAGGACGAAAACGGCGAAACACCTCCGTCCTAAATTTTCCAATGCGATGGAGGTCTGGGTCCTCCTCCTCCTCCTCCTCCTCCTCCTCCTCCTCGAGCGTACCTGCGCAACAATGTCCCTCCTCAGCTCCTAGCCGCTGGGCCGGCGACCTGGTGCCGCACGCGCCGCGGCACCTCGCGGATGCGGTGGTCGGCCACTGGTGCTGGCATCTTGACCAGCTCGCGGGGAAAAAGAGGCGCGGGACGGGGAGAGGAGGCCGAGGCGAGCAATCGGGCACAATGGCAACGAGGACAGAGAGGAGCAGGAAATGGCACGAGTGAAGTGAGGGCAACACCACAGATGGCGAAAATTACATTGGGCCTCACATCTGCAATAACAAATACTCTGCTCTTGGAAAGCTGATGCTGTAATCCAGCCTCCACAGGGCGTCTTCAACACGACAGTGCGCCATGCAGGAGGAAGGGGGAGGAGCTGGGAACGAACCTCTTCCCGCAGCGACATTGCATGGATGGCGGGCAGATATTGAGGAAACCATTCACACAGCCTCTTGTGGAGAAGGGCGGCGAGCTGGTCAGGGAGAAAAGAAGACGTGAGATGCTAGAGGCGCATAGCTTTAATGCTGAGGTGCTGTTTGTCACGTCGGATATCGTTAACAATTTGAATAGCACGATTGGCAGCATCTTTGTGAACTCGATATTAGGGAAATCCGTTAAACACGTCTCTGAGGTTGGCCGCAAGAGCTGGGGATCTCCAGAAAGAGGGCCACGGGGCACCTGCCAGGGCACGGGTCAGGGAGTATTCTTCGGCGCATACTTCTTCCAACGACTGATCAGCGTCCGCCCAGCAGGTGAATGTGAAAAGACTCGCCCGTATCAACTGAGCTAGGTTGAGCATCTTGGGACTTTTCACTCTCGGTCCGCCCCGCGAGACCAAGTTCGGCCAGGCCGCTTCTGTCAGACGGCAGAACGGCTAATTACATATGTTCGTCAGGAGCTTGAACTCCTGCTTCTGGAGCGACGCTGGGAGGGACTGGAATTGGCCCTCGCATGAAAGACCAGAGCTGATTCTAGAATCATAGAGCAAGGCCGACACTTGGGCCGCAGCTCCTTGTCTCGACAGCTCTCGGCAGCGGGAGACACATGTTCTAAAGCGTCTGGCCCAGGACGTACATGGGGGAACCTCGGGGCCAATCCACAGTCCTAGGTGCAAGACCGAGCCCTCAATCGAGAGGTCGCCCCACTCTGGGGCGCTCCGCCGAAGTCGCATGCGGTAGAGCTCTTCGATGTGCTCAGAGAAAGAATCGAGGGGGTGGGGGGGGGGGGGGCGATGTTGCATTTCTTCTTCTTGAGGTTGAGGTGGGCAAGGGTGGAAGCGTCGACAAAAACGATATAGGCGAAGTAGAGATCGACCATCCAGTGCAGCACGGCGCCGACGTCATCGGCACTAGCTCTTGCGATGCCTCTCGGGATGGATGGGTCCCCCAAGATACTGCAAAGTTTAAGGAGAAACGGATCAGCCCCCGCTTCGCAGAGGGCGCCGCTGGCGGGGCAGCCTTGAATAATGCCACTGGAGACCCAGTAAAAGGAGCTGCTGTTCCCCCCCCCCCCCCCCAACAAAAAAAAAAGAACCCCGAGACATTAGATCGGCCAATAGATGGAAGATGAAGGCAAGAAGTGGGGGCAGGAGGGCAGGTGCTCTTGGAAGTTCCGACCATCCATTTCTGGGAAATCGACGGGAAAGCTTGGCCGACATCAAAACTAACCAGGAGGGGGCAGCGGCGTTCGGCTTGAGGCCCCATCCCAATGCGGCGACCGACCGCATCTAACTCGATGGCGTTGTCTCCGAAGTTCCGAGAGGGGACAAACCCACGCTGGGCCTTCAGGAGGCCGAGGGGTCAAGCATGGGCAACAAGCTTCATCGCCAACGTCGCAATGATTTTGTTGTCACAGTTCAGGGGTCTGGTGTCAGCGCAAGCACGTGCGACGCCGCTCTCCTGATCCCCTGGCTCGTCCCCCTTCGGGATAAAAAAAACCCGAGCGCGGCGTTGAAGTCGGACAGCACGCGGTTGCCTGGGGAAACCCACTGCATGCAACCCCAGAGGAGGTCCGCGCCTCCAGGGGTGCGCTGCCACGCAGCATAAGGGATGCGGTCGGGCCCTCGGGCACTGCGTTGGAGCTCAGGGAGGAGACGGGAGAACTGTTGGAACGAAGGTGGTGGGAGGTGGGAGCGCGAAAGGAGCGGGGGGAAATCGTTGAGAAATTGTTGGGCGCCAAATGGTTTTTCCGGTGAAGACGGGGCCCCAGTGGGGGCCCGCGTCTGGATAATCTGCTGATCGGCGGCCCGAATGCCGGCGAGTGGGGTTCTGCGATCAAACGGGGAACAAAGACGGGCGAGCCTCTGGGCGCGCCGAGCACGCCGATGCACGCGGGCAGCACGAGCTTGATCGGAGAGCGGCTGAGCGTTCGCAGCGATCGCTGAGCAGGGCGCTCGGGCGACTACGCGGTGCAAAGAGTCGGAGAGCAGGGTGAAGGACGAGGGCGAGATGAGGGATATCGTCTTCGTCTCGTAGCATATCGCGATGAGTTCTCGACAGAGAGGATGGGAGTGGAGAAGCTTCTCGGCAAGCAGTAGCTGCTGGCGAAAGACTGCTCGCGCCATGCCCCGAACCAGCACGTATTTCACCAGAGGGGGAGTCGGGGTTCTTGGAGCTCATCCTGTTTCTAATAATTCAGGCGCGCTCAAGGATAACTCCCTCGACGCACTCGATCCGAAGAGGGGGCGGGAGATGCTGTTGCGGAGCGGCGTCGAGCGTCTGCTGTGCGCAGGACTTGAAAGTGGGCGCGCTAAAGATCTCCTTCGGGATTGGACGCTGTCCCGCAGGGGGTTCCTCGCGCAGTGGCCGCCGCCGCAGCGTGATCTGAGATCTTCTCGGCCGCTAGGTGTTCGGGCTGGTCTACCACCTCCCCGCCAGAAGCAAATTGCGAGACGACCCAGCCAGGCAGCGCGGGGAAACTCCGACCAATAAAGGACAGACGGGAGGTCTGCGCATTATAATGGGAAGGGGGTCGACAGCTCAAACTCAACAGAGTCCTCGAAAGCTTCGCGCCGCTCATGGGGGAGAGGTCGAGATTCAAGGTCAGCAGCTGCAGGGGGGTCTGGGTCAGGGTTCAGAGGGATGGACTCGAAGGAGGGGATGTTGAGGTCTCCAGAGATGAACGCAAGCCTGTTCAGGGGATCATCATGGGCTTCTTGAATGGCGGTGCTTATCCTGGAAAGGAGAGTGTGTCTGTCGCCACGAGACAAATCAAAATCGTGGACGTTGAAGTGCTTCACCCACCACTGCCCGCCACCGGCCTCGAAGGTCGCGAGAAGGGCTCGCCCAGGGATGGGGTTGGAGGAAGAGGTGGATGGTCGCTCCTGCCCGAATTTCGCTGACCTCTCGGCTGACGGAGAGAACCGAGGAAAAAAGAAGGATCACTCTGCCTTTGGCAGAGACCTGCTGGGGGTCAGAGGCGGCTGGGGAGAAAGAGGAGGAGGCTTGGAAGGGGAAGTTGAGATGATGGAGCACGTCGTGCATCTCACTCTCAGACCCGTGGGCCTCCTGCATCGAAACGATACTGCCTCGGACCAGCAATCTTCTCAAGAAGCGGATCTTTTTCTGGCGGACCGCCTCGCTGCGATGGAAGAGAGAGCGCGCATTCCATGTCGCAGCGCGACGCGAGAAAGTAGATGCATTTCAAGACGTGCTCGATCCATGCCACAGGGCGCTGAACATGTTAGGAACTCCACGCTGTCGGATTCGGGCCCGCCAGGGCACGTGTGACAATCGGCTGCAGCTCAGCCAACGAGAAACCCTCAGCGGCGAGGATCGCACGCGCCCAAGAGACCTCTGGCTGGTCATCATGGGGAACAAGCGAGAACTTGACCAACGGCCGCCAGTTCGATGAGATCTCGCCTTTAACTTTGTCCACGAAGAAACGGGCGCGGCGGACCGCGTGGCAGTAGGTCTCGCGCTTGACGGTGCACGCATTCTTGTCGGGGCCGACGTAGAGCCTGCGCCGCCCGACGGGCAGCCAGCGCCTTCGGGCCGTTGAAACGAATCGTAAACCTCTTGCTGGTGGGGTCGCCCTCCACCAGCCAGTCGTCCTCGGCGATGTTGGAGTCCACCATCCAACTGCGAACTGCACTGGCGGCCGCAGCAGCCGTGACCAGGAACTTGGAACGAACGATGACGATGCCAGCGTCGATCTCGCGATCGAACGTGCTGCCAGGGATGTACTGCTTGATGGCGGGAGGCTCTTTCTTGACGATGTCATGCTCGTTCCGCAGCTCGCGGATCTCCCGCTCGGCAGTGGAGAGCCTGTCGTCCTGCGCCTTCTGCATGGTCTCCACGACGCTGAGGCGCCTCTCGAAATACTGGTGCAGGTCCTGGTGCGATTTGGAGAGGGAGTCGCGGAGGCTGGCCATGGAGGCGTTGACGCTGGCCAGGGAGGGGTTGACGTTGTCCGAGACGGTGGAGACATTGTCCAGGACGGTCTTGAGCGTGGTGTCCGCAACGTGCTTGTGCTTGTCGAGGTCGGAGCGCACAGCAGCCAGATCAGACCTAAGAGAAGCCACATCACCCTTGAACCGCTTGCCGCTCTGGGTGCGCGGGGACTGCGGCGGGGACAGGAAGGGGGCATCCGCAGAGGCCGCCACGTCGTTGGGGAAGGTGGGGACTTCTTCCCAGGCTCGCAAGAGATCTGCATCAGGGGCTTCGCTAGTACGGGCGGGCGTCTGCACTTGCATACCATTGCCACTCATCTCCGCCTCAAGACTTTGAGGCACCCGCGAAAAGACTGACAAGTGTGGATACGGAAGCAAAACCCACGGCCGCACGAGGGTTCACCGTGGGGATCGTGCGAGAAGAAAAGAAAGCCTGCTGCAGGCGCGCACGCCTCGGGCCAACATCTCGGCAGCAGACAAGCACGAAGCCGCAGGGCGACGGTTTCGTACTTGAGCCAAAATGGCTACGGACCTCCTCCTCCTCCTCCTCCTCCTCCTCCTCCTCCTCCCCTCCCCTTTCCTCCTCCTCCTCCTGCTCCTCCTCCTGCTCCTCGTCTTCCTCCTCCTCCTCCTCCTCCTGCTCCTCCTCCTGCTCCTCCTCCTCTCCCTCCTCCTCCACTGCTTGCGGGCCTTCGCCGCCCTGCGGCCCCGGGCCTCCGACCGCCGGGGCCGCGACCTGGTGCGCAGGGGTGGGGCCCTGCGCTGCCATTCGGCCCAGCGGCGGAGCCCGCCGCGGCGCGGCGGGCGGGAGGCTCGGACCGATCAGAAAGAGGAGTCGAGGAGGGGGTGTCGGAGGAGTCGGAGAAGGAGGAGGAGGAGGGGGGGGAAGAGGAGGAGGAGGAGGAGGAGGAGGAGGAGGAGCAGGAGGAGCAGGAGGAGCAGGAGGAGGAGAGAGGAGGGGGAGGAGGAGAAGGAGAAGGAGGAGGAGCAGGAGGAGGAGCGGAGGAGGAGGAGGAGGAGGAGGAGGAGGAGGAGGAGGAGGAGGGCAGGAGGAGCAGGAGGAGCATGGAGAGAGGAGGAGAAGGAGGAGGGGGAGAGGGGAGGAGGAGGAGGAGGGGAGGAGGAGGAGAGGAGGGAAGGAGCAGGAGGAGAGGAGGAGGGATGATGATGATGATGATGATGATGATGATGATGATGATGATGATGATGATGATGTGATGATGATGATGATGATGATGATGATGATGATTGATGGTGCTGATGATGATGTGATGATGATGATATGAGTGATGTTGATGATGAGAGAGGAGGAGAGAGAAGAGGAGGGAGGAGAGTCGAGGAGCCGGAGAGGAGGAGGAGAGGGAGGATGAGGAGGAGGAGTCGGAGGAGGAGGGGGAGGAGGAGGGGGAGGAGGAGGAGGAGGAGGAGATGAGGAGGAGGAGGAGGAGAGGAGGAGAGAGGAGGAGGCGGAGGAGGAGGAGGAGGAGGAGGGAGGAGGAGGAGGAGGAGGAGGAGGAGGAGGAGGAGGAGGAGGAGGAGGGGAGGAGGAGGATGAAGGAGGGGGGAGGAGGAGGAGGAGAGGAGGAGGAGGAGGGGAGGAGGAGGAGGAGGAGGAGGAGGAGGAGGAGGAGGAATAGGAGAAGGATGAGGAGGACGAGGAGGAGGACGAGGATGAGGACCAGTGTAAACCCAAGACTCATCAACGATGTTGGGATAGATCCTCCCGCAAAGATCCCTCCGCATAGGTCCCTACACGGTTCATGACTCCAGCGCCACGAGTCAACCTGGCTATCGCGTCTTGACGATCCGGAATCGGGCCAGAACGCCATTCCTGGTACACCAACACCGCGGATCAATGTACCTGTTGCGCTCTGACAACCCTGAATCGTCCTCGAACACCATTTCTGGCACTTTCACCATGAGAACCAATGAACTTCTGGTACATTTCAAAACCTGCTGTGCGCGGCGCTAAGGCGAGAACCACTTTGTACGAAAGAGTCGCCCTCAATCCGTGAAGCTCTTGCACATGTTTGAAACGAATGTGTGCGGCGCTGAAAACGAGCGCCATATTTTGAAAACGAACCGCCCGCAATTCGTGAAGCTCTTGCGCATGTTTTGACGAACATGCGCGGCGCTACGGCGAGAGCCAAATGTTGAAAACCACCCGCCATCAATGTTTGAAACTGTTGCCATTTTGGGGCCTCAGGCTCGTAAATGGTAGGGATGTCTCAGGCGAACCGCCCAACCCGCCCTTCGCACTGGCCTTTGGGTGCGACAGGGGACAGTTCCGCACAAGGAAAAGGAGTGGAGGAGGATGAGCAGAAGGAGGAGGAGGAGGAGGACGAGGAGGAGTAAAAGGAGGAGGAGGAGGAGGAGGAAGAGGGGGAGGAATGGAGGAGTGGATGAGTGGAGGAGTCGATGAGTCGGATGAGGAGGAAGAGGAGGAGGGAAATGGAGGAGGAGGAGGAGGAAGAGAAGGAGGAGGGAAGAGGAGGAGGAGGAGGAGGAGGAGTCGAGGAGGAGTCGAGGAGGAGGAGGAGGAGGAGGAGGAGGAGGAGGAGGGATGAGGAGAGGAGGAGACGAGGTGGCGGATGATGTGGAGAATAATCAAAGAGGAGGAGGAGGAGGAGGAGGAGGAGGAGGAGGAGGAGGAGGAGTCGATCGTATAGGAGAGGACTTGGCTTTGCGCGTGTGGGGGGTGATGTGCAGCTCTACGCAGAGCATTACACTCGTGCAGCTACTACCTCGAACGATCGCACATCTACTATACGAAGGTACGGGTAACGCACGCCGTGAAGCGGTTGATCCTTCCTCCTCCTCGCGCGCCGAAAAGCTTCCCACGGAGCGTGAGCGCAAACGAGCAAGCAGGATGATGACGACGAAAAGGAGGGTGAAGGGAAAGAGGCGGAAGCGGGCCCCATGCGCACCCACGGAGCCCCAGAGCGTGTCGCGAGAGTCCTCCCAAATCGTGGCGCGACACTGGTCACTGGATGGACTGGTGAGGAATTCGATAAAAATACCAAAAAAAAAAAACAAAAAAAAAAAAAATGAAACCAACGTTGGCCTTGCATGCGGTGTGTGCGCATGCGCCGGCGCGCGAAGAAGCGCCTTCCGAAAGTGCTGCTCTCGAGGACATTGGAAACGCGTCGGCCATGCGCTGAATGCAAGCGGCTTGTAGCCGTTGGACAAGTTGTACAGCGACGCAGCAAAAGCTACGCATGAAGACAAACTTGCCCGTACACGCACCGCCCATGGCCTTGGACTCTCAGCCTCGAGCCCAGCAGCAATCCCAGCAACTCTGCCCAGCGCTGCCACCGCTGCAGGTTGGGAGGGGAGAGCGGGGAGGGTGAGTGCCACGGAGAAGGGCAGGGGCAAGCAAGGTGCAGCATGGCTTATCCCCGCAGAAGCTTATCCTGAAAGTGCTCTTCGCGGGCCGCTGTGCCTGCCAGTCTCTGAAAGCAAGGCCAGTGACCAAAATTCCCACCACCGTCCCTTCTTCCACCTCTGACTCCCCTCCCCCCTCTCTCGTTCCTCCTCGGTCCCCCATCCCCATTCCTCGGCCCCCTCCCTTCTCGCGTTCCCCTCCCGCCTCTTGTCCCCTCCCTCGTCCCCCATTCCGCGGCTCCCTCCCTCCCTTCGCTTGCGGCGTCGACTCTTGGAAGGAAGGCGCTTCCACTCATTCGAATGCATGGTTCTGCACGTCAAGCGCATGGGCAATGGCCCGTAGATCGCAGGGAGCCCAGCCACGACGTCGCGCCACGACCGTCGCAAGATCTGAATCAGGGCATTAGTTTTCGACCCTGGTGTGGTAGTTTACGCATCAGACGGCGCGGCGCTATGTAGCTGGGTCTTGCTGCGTTGAAGCTCATTGTGGCCGCGACCTCGGCGACACGACCAACAACTACGCGGAGTATGTCGGCCTTCTAGAATGCATACAATATACTTCGGAGCATCCTGCTCCCAACCTGGTGTTTCACAATGATGCTCTGTTGGTCGTGAAACAAGTCGATGGCATCTGGAGGTGCCGTGCGAGCCTTCGTCGACCATCATATGAACGAGCCTTGGCTGCGCTCTCACAATTGCGCCAAGTGGCAAGGGTGCAATCTGTTCGAGTGCGCCACATATACCGTGAATGCAACACCTATGCGGGGGGCATCTGCGACGAGGTTTTGGATGCAATTGCTAGTGGCGTTCCCCCTGTAACGCACGGGGTGGCACGTGTGAAGAATTTGGAGGCCGTACAATCGGGCTGCTGAAATAAGGAACGCAAAACAAGGAACGAGGCCCCTTTTTGGCCCCAGAAGCGCCTGCGTGGACGAGGAGCGTTGGAGAAACAACCATGGAAGGACCTAAGGAACATCGAGTCCCTTCCGCACCCCAAGCGGCCCTTATTTCAGCGTTTTGGCTGTATGTTCGAGCACTTTGAGCTCTCTGAGGTCTACCTGGCGCCCCTGCCCCCGACTGCCCCTACCAGCGTTTCGCTGCCCTGGGGACTTCGGGATGGTTGGCCTCTCCTGCTGGCGGCCCGCGCCTGAGTTGTCTCGATTTTCCCAATCTTTGTCGCCACGTGCATATGTCGTTTCTTTCTGAACGGGCGGCGTACATCCTGACGCTGCACGCTTCCCTCAATACCAGCCGCTTGAGTGCACAGTTTGCCGTGCTTTTCCTGTACTCTTCCACCAGAGCCGCTCCGGCGCAGTCCAGTCATACACAGACGTAGGTCTTGCACATTGGGCTTGGGCCTTTCAATGCTGCTCACTGGACGTATAAAGTTTCCGCTTGCTGCTTTCGGACAAGACGATTTGTTAGCATCATTTGTGGATTTCGATGTGGCCAGACCACAACACACCACAGGGATTTATAGCATTTTACAATCAACCCGTATAATAAGGACGCACGATGAGGATGCAAGGGCCTTGGAAGACCATGTCGACATTTTGCGAACGGGGCGCGGCCAGCGAACGCGGCCAAGGATGGGCCGAAGGGGAAGGATGCAAAAGTACCTAATTTTGGAAAGTTGCTCATCCTCACTATGCGGGCTGACTGTGTCAATCAGGCACGGGGAGTGCTTGAGATGAGAACAACCTTCATCCTTCTGCATACCCAAGCCCATCTTGAGCGGGCCTCGAAGTGGGCTCCCCTCCAGGGGCGCTTCCACCCCAGACCCCCGACGTCGTGATTTTTCACAGCGCCGACCACAGGAGGTCTGGACCCCTTCCCCGGGACCAGCCTCACCCTAAATAAATGTTTGACGGTCCCGAGGCCCAAAGAGGGCCCCTGGAGGCCGAAATAGCAAAAACGTCCCGTCGTGATTCTTTCACAACGCGAGGGGGTCTGGGACCCCTCTGGGGGCCCATTCGCGGGGCCCAGAGCTCCAGACCACTTCCCCTGGGCCGGTTTTTCTTTGGGATCCAAAAACGGTGCGGTGACACACCGTGCGGTGACCTCGAAATCCCCCGAGACCTCACCGCACGGTCCGTCACCGCACGGTTTTGGGACCCTGGAGGCCCCTGTCGCCCGAGACGTCCTCGGAGAGGGACTCGAGTCCCAAAACCGTGCGGTGACCCCGAATCCCCACCGACTCACCGTACGGTGTGGTCACCGCCCCGTTTGAAGGCCCCCGATTTTCGTCCCGAGGCCCCTCGAGGGCCCCCGGAGGCCCAAAAGTGCCACCCTCCTGCCTCCTCCCATTGTTGAAGGGGAACTGGGACACACAAATAAATACACACAAATAAAAAGATCCCCCATATGTTCTCATATCTTCTTGGTTTTTGTCTTCCCCCCCCCTTCCCAAATTTTCCCATATTTTCTGGG